TGTAAACTGTAACTATATTGTATTTATATTGTAAACTGTAACTATGTTGTATTTATCTTGCAAACTGTAACTATGTTGTATTTATATTGTAAACTGTAACTATGTTGTATTGATATTGTAAACTGTAACTATGTTGTATCGATATTGTAAACTGTAACTATTTTGTATTTATATTGTAAACTGTAACTATATTGTATTTATATTGTAAACTGTAGCTATGTTGTATTTATATTGTAAACTGTAACTGTGTTGTATATATATTGTAAACTGTAACTGTTGTATTTATATTGTAAACTGTAACTATGCTGTATTTATACTGTAAACTGTAACTATGTTGTATTTATATTGTAAACTGTAACTATGTTGTATCGATATTGTAAACTGTAACTATTTTGTATTTATATTGTAAACTGTAACTATATTGTATTTATATTGTAAACTGTAGCTATGTTGTATTTATATTGTAAACTGTAACTGTGTTGTATATATATTGTAAACTGTAACTGTTGTATTTATATTGTAAACTGTAACTATGCTGTATTTATATTGGAAACTGTAACTATGTTGTATATATATTGTAAACTGTAACTGTTGTATTTATATTGTACACTGTACCAATGCTGTATTTATATTGGAAACTGTAACTATGTTGTATTTATATTGTAAACTGTAACTTACTGTAGCTATGTTGTATGTATGTTGTAACTATGCTGTATTTATATTGTAAACTGTAACTATGTTGTATTTATATTGTAAACTGTAACTATGCTGTATTTATATTGTAAACTGTAACTATGTTGTATTTATATTGTAAACTGTAACTATGCTGTATTTATATTGTAAACTGTAACTATGTTGTATTTATATTGTAAACTGTAACTATATTGTATTTATATTGTAAACTGTAGCTATGTTGTATTGATATTGTAAACTGTAACTGTGTTGTATATATATTGTAAACTGTAACTGTTGTATTTATATTGTAAACTGTAACTATGCTGTATTTATACTGTAAACTGTAACTATGTTGTATTTATATTGTAAACTGTAACTATGCTGTATTTATATTGTAAACTGTAACTATGTAAACTGTGTATTTATATTGTAAACTGTAACTATGCTGTATTTATGTATTTGTAAACTGTAACTATGTTGTATTTATATTGTAAACTGTAACTATGTTGTATTTATCTTGCAAACTGTAACTATGTTGTATTTATATTGTAAACTGTAACTATGTTGTATTGATATTGTAAACTGTAACTATGTTGTATTTATATTGTAAACTGTAACTATGCTGTATTTATATTGTAAACTGTAACTATGCTGTATTTATATTGTAAACTGTAACTATGTTGTATTTATATTGTAAACTGTAACTATGTTGTATTTATATTGTAAACTGTAACTATGTTGTATTTATATTGTAAACTGTAACTATGTTGTATTTATATTGTAAACTGTAACTATGTTGTATTTATATTGTAAACTGTAACTATGTTGTATCGATATTGTAAACTGTAACTATGTTGTATTTATATTGTAAACTGTAACTATATTGTATTTATATTGTAAACTGTAGCTATGTTGTATTTATATTGTAAACTGTAACTGTGTTGTATATATATTGTAAACTGTAACTGTTGTATTTATATTGTAAACTGTAACTATGCTGTATTTATACTGTAAACTGTAACTATGTTGTATTTATATTGTAAACTGTAACTATGTTGTATTTATATTGTAAACTGTAACTATGCTGTATTTATATTGTAAACTGTAACTGTGTTGTATTTATATTGTAAACTGTAACTATGCTGTATTTATATTGTAAACTGTAACTATGCTGTCTTATATTGTGAACTGTAACTATGCTGTATTTATATTGTAAACTGTAACTATGCTGTATTTATATTGTAAACTGTAACTATGCTGTATTTATATTGTAAACTGTAACTATGCTGTATTTATATTGTAAACTGTAACTATGCTGTATTTATATTGTAAAAGTATTGTTGTACGTTCTGCCATCTTGCCTTTATGTATTTGTCTTGTAAAGCTTTAATCCTGTTTCTCTTGTACAACCAAGAGTGGTTTTTTTTAGAATAAAAGAGTTTGATTTTGAGTTGAACAGACACGTGAAGCGTTAACTGCATCTTGCTGGTGGTTGAACAGATAGGTGAAGCGTTACTGCATCTTGGTGGGGGTTGAACCACCATGAATAACAAATCTATTCTGACTCCAAAATATCATGCATTTATTGCTGTAAATACTATCTGAAGTCTAGCTGGTGTGTCCTCTCTACACTGAGGTCATGTTAGAGGCATCAATCTGAACGGTCAATGATGGCCCTTGTGCATTGCTGTCAATCAGAATAGAAACAGAAATACCACAATAGACTGCAATATTAAACCAATACTAAAACATTAACTGCATCTTGCTGAGGGTTGAACACACAAGTGAAGAGTTTATTGCATCTTGTTGGGGGTGAACAGACAAGTGAAGCGTTAATTGCATCTTGGTGGGGGGTTGAACAGACAAGTGAAGCGTTAACTGCATCTTGCTGAGGGTTGAACACACAAGTGAAGCGTTAATTGCATCTTGGTGGGGTGTGGGGTTGAACAGACAAGTGAAGCGTTAACTGCATCTTGGTATGGGTTGAACTGACATGTGAAGGATTAACTGCATCTTGGTAGGGGGTGAACAGACATGTGAAGGGTTAACTGCATCTTGGTATGGGTTGAACTGACATGTGAAGGGTTAACTGCATCTTGGTAGGGGTGAACAGACACGTGAAGGGTTAACTGCATCTAGGTAGGGGTTGAAAACACACGTGAAGCGATAACTGCATCTTGGTAGGGGTTGAACAGTCACGTGAAGGGTTAACTGCATCTTGGTGGGGGTTGAACACACAAGTGAAGCGTTAACTGCATCTTGGTGGGGGTTGAACACACAAGTGAAGCATTAACTGCATCTTGGTAGGGGTTGAAAACACAAGTGAAGCATTAACTGCATCTTGGTAGGGGTTGAACACACACATGAAGCGTTAACTGCATCTTGGTAGGGGTGAACACACATGAAGCGTTAACTGCATCTTGGTAGGGTGGGGTGAACTGCACTTGGTAGGGGTGAACACACACGCGAAGCGTTAACTGCATCTTGGTGGGGGTTGAAGTCACGTGACGGGTTAACTGCATCTTGGTGGGGGTTGAACACACAAGTGAAGCGTTAACTGCATCTTGGTGGGGGTTGAACACACAAGTGTAGCATTAACTGCATCTTGGTAGGGGTTGAAAACACAAGTGAAGCATTAACTGCATCTTGGTTGGGGTGAACACACATGAAGCGTTAACTGCATCTTGGTAGGGGTGAACACACACATGAAGCGTTAACTGCATCTTGGTAGGGGTGAACACACACATGAAGCGTTAACTGCATCTTGGTAGGGGTGAACACACATGAAGTGTTAACTGCATCTTGGTAGGGGTGAACACACATGAAGTGATAACTGCATCTTGGTAGGGGTGAACACACACGTGAAGCGTTAACTGCATCTTGGTAGGGGATGAACACACACGTGAAGCGTTAACTGAATCTTGGTGGGGGTTGAACACACAAGTGAAGCGTTAACTGCATCTTGGTAGGGGTTGAACACACATGAAGCGTTAACTGCATCTTGGTAGGGGGTGAACACACATGAAGCGTTAACTGCATCTTGGTAGGGGTGAACACACAAGTGAAGCATTAACTGCATCTTGGTAGGGGTGAACACACATGAAGCGTTAACTGAATCTTGGTGGGGGTTGAGCACTTAACTGAATCACATGTGATGCATTAACTGCATCTTGGTAGGGGTGAACAGACACATGAAGCGTTAACTGCATCTTGCTGGGGGTTGAACACACAAGTGAAGCGTTAATTGCATCTTTGTAGGGTTAGAACGCACACGTGAAGGGTTATCTTGGTAGGAGTTTGGCACCAAGTCGAGACGTTAGCTAGGTTGTGAAACATAACTGAAAAACTGTTCAGAGTAGCCCATTTTTTACCTTTAGTGTACTCCAGATGAAGGAGCAAAAGGCTGTTCTTGTTTCAAACAATAAAGAAGGGATCCCTCAAAGTTGCAAATCTGCAAAACAAACTTTCCAAACCTTATAGCTGCAATGCCCAAGGTGCTGAACCTGCCTGTATTGTTTCCTGTAGAACATGTTGGCCTTAAGAAAGGCTTTTTTAAGCATGCCTTTTAAAACATTTTTTTTAGATGACATGTATTTATCTATGGCTTTCATTGTCCATACATGTATCTGCTAACTCGTGAAAGAATGGAATGACAGTGTGGAAATCAAACCACACTCAGCTGAAAAGACCTTTTATTATAGCTGCCACATATCTATAACAACGCCGCAGTCTACACACAACACTGCAAAACACAAAACAAACAAGTGTTTGCCACTGATATGGCAATGTCCCCCGCCGCTAGAGAATGGAATATTTATAACACATTTACTACTTTTTATTTTTTGGTCACATACAAGATGCCTGAAATGACTGGTGTCTGCATAATCACCCAATGTAGCCTGTCGACATACTTGAAAACATGTTTTATGAGATATTGCGTTACTGAGAGTTTGAAAAGTGGTCAAAGTGTCATGGCGACTTTGAAAATAAGGTCAAGGTCACCAAAATCAACTGTTGTCTGTGTAATCCCCCAATGTAGGCTGTCACCAAATTTGAAGACATTGGGCACAACAGTTCATGAGATATTGGGTTACCGAGAGTTTGAAAAGTGGTCAAAGTGTCGTGGCGACTTTGAAAATAAGGTCAAGGTCACCAAAATCGACTGTTGTCTGTGTAATCCCCAAATGTAGGCTGTCACCAAATTTAAAGACATTGGGTACAACAGTTCATGAGATATCGCGGTAACAAGAATTGGGATGTACCTATGTATGGACAGACGCCCCTGAATACAGGGACAATTATTCACAGACATAAACAAACACAAGTTTGAATGTAAATCTTTACTTCCACAATCAAGTATGTACAAGTCCTCATATAACACTTACATCAAGGAGGAAACAATGCTGAACAAATACCTGTAAAATTGCCATTGTATTCATTCACTCACTCACTCACTCACTGCTCCTGCATAAGGAAACCCAAGATATGATAGATTTGCAAACTGTCTTACTTGATCCATACTAGTATCTGATAATGTGCACACACTAGCCAATGAGAACTAGCATTTACATATTTGCTTTTATCAATATATAAGTTATCCATATCAAAGGGCTATTTGCTAATATGCGTTCACTCAGCTGTACAAAAAAATCCTGATGCATGCTGTGAGAACTGATGACAATAGTGGAAATCAACACCTGTATTGATGAACGATGACAATTGTACACATCAACACCTTTAATTATACAAGATGACATTGGTGCAAATCAACACCTGTATTAATACCTGATGACAATTATACACATTAACACCTGCATAAATATATGACAATTGTACATATCAACACCTGTATCAATACCTGATGACAATTATACATATCAACACCTATATAAATATATGATGACAATTGTACACATCAACACCTGTATCAATACCTGATGAGAATTATACATGTCAACACCTGTATCAATACCTGATGACAATAATACATGTCAACACCTGTATTAACACCTGAGGACAGTTGTGGTACACACCTGTACTGATACATTATGACAATGGTACACATACACCTGTACAGATACCTGATGACAGTGGTACACATCAACCACTGTACTGATACCTAATGACAATGGTACACATCAACACCTGTACTGATACCTAATGACAGTGGTACACATCAACACCTGTACTACTACACATACCTGATGACAGTGGTACACATTGACACCTGTACTGATACCTGATGACAGTGGTACACATCACACCTGTACACCAGTGGTATCAACACCTGTACTGATACCTGATGACAGTGGTACACATCAACACCTGTACTGATACCTGATGACAGTGGTACACATCAACACCTGTACTGATACCTGATGACAGTGGTACACATGACACCTGTACTGATACCTGATGACAGTGGTACACATCAGCACCTGTACTGATACCTGATGACAGTGGTACACATTGACACCTGTACTGATACCTGATGACAGTGGTACACATCAGCACCTGTACTGATACCTGATGACAGTGGTACACATCAACACCTGTACTGATACCTGATGATAATGGTACACATCAACACCTGTACTAATACCTGATGACACAATGGTAAATATTGACACCTGCACTGATACGTGGTGACACAATGGTACCTGAGTACCTGATGACAAAGTTGTACATCTAACACTTATCACAGTTTGCTGTTTTGATTTCACATACAACACACATTAGACACTCATGTAGAAGATCCAGTGAGACTTGAACACCTCTACAGGTCACACAGACACACATACACAGGTCATACGGTCACACAGGTCAAACATCACACACAGTTGACCAGGGTGTCGTCCAAAACACCTTCAGAGGGAAGAGTGTCATATGTTTGTGTTAAAGTATGGGAGTTACAATCACCTCACCACTTACATCATGGCACCATGACCAGTCAAACATGGAACCAAAGTCAGGGTAACACTTTGCATGAACTGACGTTTGACGATATTTATTTGATTATCTGATTTTGATAAAATAACAGCTTAGATTGAACACCTCCATGTTAATAATTTTGTTCGAGAAAAATAAAGCAGATATAATCAACAGCTTCTGTGAGTGGCATTTTAGAAGCGGGGAATTGCAATGTTGAAACAGGTGTTGATTACAATATAGCCATACTTTATGGATAACAACTTCTTCATTTCGTGAGTGCAACGTTTCAACAGTACAAGACAGTGACAATGGTTCAAGATTCTGTATCGAAATGTTGCACCCACTGAAGTTGTATCTTGTACAATCATCTGTATCGAAACGTTGTACTCATGAAATAAGAAGTTGTTATCCATTAAGTATGGCTATATTGTAATCAACACCTGTTTCAACATTGCATCACAACTATGACGCACTCCATGTAGCACCATGCTTCTTGCATCTTGAAGTAGTCACAAAGAAAGTTCTAAAAGTTTTAAAAGCATAAATATATATTTCAAAATGATATATTAGCTAGACTCTACAACAATACTGACCGGCATTCACGACAGAAGCAATATAATGGCTGAATCTAGAACCAATCACAGCACTTGATAACTCACAGAAGAAATGATATAGAAAATATACACTAGTAAGGCATATATAGAATTGATTGTTAATGATGAGCTTTAAGCTACTTTTGTTTGAAATGTGATGGATGGCAATATAGCAGTCTAGTTACTGACAAGTTAATCTGACCTACACTGGCATGTAACTGACCAACCGACTCCTGGCTTACACCAATACATAATCTCAGTTAAAACATGTAAAATAAATGTATATTTCTGTGCCTATTATAACAAAATAACAACATAAGTGAAAAATCAGTCATTACCATGCATGTGCTTTCAGCTTTTAGGAAAAGTGGCTAGGGGGCACACATAAACGTGCATATAAATGCTAATTATTTGGAAAAGAATTTGCAATTGGTTGTCCTGATTAATTTAATAACACCAAGGATTTATGATATGTTTCCTGAATGCTTACAGGTTTTATATACTTCACATTGGACTACATCCTCGATAATCCAGGGTATACGATCCGATAAATTTTAATGGTACCCTGGATGCATCTATGGCATGATAATTGTATTACCTCCCTTTGCTGGCTCCGCCTTTTCACAGTAGCCAATCAGATAAGCCGTTAGAACCAAGCTTGCCAGTGCCAACAAAGATGACGCCCGCAAAGGTTTGCTCACTGTGCAACTCAGTTTAGGGAAAAAATTATACAGACAAATTGACAGGTCTGAAACCATCAAAAATACATGCAAGAACTACCTCTTTCAGGGTACCTCTGCAACAAATGTGTTGCCACAGTCAACAAACTCCAAATCGCAAGGTAAGAAATGATAGAAGCCTTGTGATTGGTACGCTCAACTTCCCACCTGATTGGATAAATAGCCAGCAAAGGGAGGTACATTTGTCGGCGACTAATACAACTCCTCTCACTGCTCAGTAAATAGCCACACAAACTGACAGTCTCGAGTCCACCGTGCCTGTCCCCCTGGAAGCCCCTGTCCCCCACCCATCCATGACCCCACTCCCCAGTCTCTGTCCTCTGTTGGGGGCCACACAGGTGCCTGTTGTCCTCCACATGTGTTCTTCATAACAACATCTCAGGGGTAGTAGAACTTTAAAAACCTACAAAGACAGATAATAACATATCATTCAACATACTGCCTTTAACATCACAGTGTCATAAGTTTATTCTTTACCTCATTTTTTTTAAAAAGCTTCAAAACTTTGTCAAAAATGAATATAGTGATGCGTTAATTTGAGTTAGTGAGTCAAAAGTTTACACTGCATCCGCAACATCTAAGCAATAAAGCAATACCATGCATTGACAATTAAATAACCAACTTACTGACAGAATTATCCTTCAAAACATATTTGCCTATCCAGTCGTATGTTATCATGGTTAGCCATCAAGCAATCAAAGACAACATCTGATCAAGGGTTCTCATGGGTACCTACCACAGCAATGTTTCCTTGGGGCCGTTCTCGAACCTGGTCTGTAGATCAGGCGGCGGGTAGCCTATGTTCACGGTGATGTTGGTATACAGATGTTCGACGGACGTTTTCATCACCGTGTAGTTCATCCCCACTGGGTCATTCAGACCATCCTTTGGCCATCGTGCTCGCCAGCCAAAAAATCTTTTATTACTAAAAGGAAAACACAACACTGTTTATATAAACAGTCACAGCTGATGTTTGTTGGTGTGTTCATACTCAAGCTTTATTCTTGCATCGTAAAGCTCTGTGAAATGCTGTCACTGACCTCGAACCAGACACACACCATGATCATGTGCCTGGTTGCCTTAGCAAAACTGAGAAAAGATTTCCGAGGGGACTAGCTTGGACTAAACTAACTGAACTGAGTGAGTGAGTGAGCTTGAGCTGTATTGCAGCAAGGAATTGTCCAGAGTAATGCTGGGTCTGGAGACTGACCACTTGAAAACTGACTCCATGCACAATACTTGAAAACATTATCAGGACAACTCCGGGATTTTAACCCATAATGAAAGGTCTCTGGCATACATAAGGGAAGTAACTCTGTGGTGATTGTGTGTAACAGTACAGTGGCAAAGTGTGTAACAGTACTGTGCCTAATATGTGTAACATTACTGTGGCTAAAGTGTGTAACAGTACTGTGGCTAAAGTGTGTAACAGTACTGTGGCTAATAGTGTGTAACAGTACTGTGGCTAAAGTGTGTAACAGTACTGTGGCTAAAGTGTGTAACAGTACTGTGGCTAAAGTGTGTAACAGTACTGTGGCTAAAGTGTGTAACAGTACTGTGCCTAATATGTGTAACAGTACTGTGGCTAAAGTGTGTAACAGTACTGTGGCTAAAGTGTGTAACAGTACTGTGGCTAATATGTGTAACAGTACTGTGGCTAATAACAGTGTGTAACCAAAGTACTGTGGCTAAAGTGTGTAACAGTACTGTGGCTAAAGTGTGTAACAGTACTGTGGCTAAAGTGTGTAACAGTACTGTGGCTAAAGTGTGTAACAGTACTGTGGCTAAAGTGTGTAACAGTACTGTGGCTAAAGTGTGTAACAGTACTGTGGCTAAAGTGTGTAACAGTACTGTGGCTAAAGTGTAACAGTACTGTGGCTAAAGTGTGTAACAGTACTGTGGCTAAAGTGTGTAACAGTACTGTGGCTAAAGTGTGTAACAGTACTGTGGCTAAAGTGTGTAACAGTACTGTGGCTAAAGTGTGTAACAGTACTGTGGCTAAAGTGTGTAACAGTACTGTGGCTAAAGTGTGTAACAGTACTGTGGCTAAAGTGTGTAACAGTACTGTGGCTAAAGTGTGTAACAGTACTGTGGCTAAAGTGTGTAACAGTACTGTGGCTAAAGTGTGTAACAGTACTGTGGCTAAAGTGTGTAACAGTACTGTGGCTAAAGTGTGTAACAGTACTGTGGCTAAAAGTGTGTAACAGTACTGTGGCTAAAGTGTGTAACAGTACTGTGGCTAAAGTGTGTAACTGTGGCTAAAGTAGTGTGTAACAGTACTGTGGCTAAAGTGTGTAACAGTAGTGTGGCTAAAGTGTGTAACAGTACTGTGGCTAAAGTGTAACAGTACTGTGGCTAAAGTGTGTAACAGTACTGTGGCTAAAGTGTGTAACAGTACTGTGGCTAAAGTGTGTAACAGTACTGTGGCTAAAGTGTGTAACAGTACTGTAACAGTACTGTGTAACAGTACTGTGGTAACAGTACTGTGGCTAAAGTGTGTAACAGTACTGTGGCTAAAGTGTGTAACAGTACTGTGGCTAAAGTGTGTAACAGTACTGTGGCTAAAGTGTGTAACAGTACTGTGGCTAAAATGTGTAACAGTACTGTGGCTAAAGTGTGTAACAGTAGTGTGGCTAAAGTGTGTAACAGTACTGTGGCTAAAGTGTGTAACAGTACTGTGGCTAAAGTGTGTAACATTTATGGCCATGGCGTTAACAGTACTGTATCTAAAGTCCATTCGACAATGTAACACAATCCTAATCTAATAATCAAAATGAATATATTTGAGTACGTTAAGTGTCTGGATTAGTATTTTCATTGTATAATAATAGTATACTGATTGTGTCAGCTGTTATATGCTGATTATTGTGGTGACTAGCTTAGTATTCTTATAGTGTTCCTTAAAGTGTCTAACCCATTCTCAGCACGGGATGCCTTGTGATGACGAACCATCTTGAATCTGCCTATGTGTTCTGGTGGCCGAGTGAGCAGCAGCCCCGAATCCTGGATCCTGAAGATGACACATAACTTATATCAGGTCACCATTTATATCAGGTCACCATTGATATCAGTTCACCATCACAAACTGCAACATACATATCAATTCAACATAACACAGGACAAATGTCTTTTTTAGGCTAGAGGGACAAAGCATCCATCTACTTTAGTTCTTAGAAGCACCCATCTACTACAGGCTGACTATGTCTGACTATGTTAGAGGGCACCCATCTACTACAGGCTGACTATGTCCTTAGAGGGCATCCATCTACTACAGGCTGACTATGTCCTTAGAGGGCATCCATCTACTACAGTCTGACTATGTCCTTAGAGGGCATCCATCTACTACAGGCTGACTATGTCCCTAGAAGGCATCCATTTACTACAGGCTGACTATGTCATAGAAGGCATCCATTTACTACAGGCTGACTATGGCTGACATCCATACTACAGGCTGACTAGTTCCTAGAAGGCATCCATTTACTACAGGCTGACTATGTCCCTAGAAGGCATCCATTTACTACAGGCTGACTATGTCCCTAGAAGGCATCCATCTACTACAGGCTGACTATGTTCTTAGAGGGCATCCATCTGCTACAGGCTGACTATATCCCTAGAAGGCATCCATCTACTACAGGCTGACTATGTCCCTAGAAGGCATCCATCTGCTACAGACTGACTATGTCCTAGAGGCATCCATCTACTACAGGCTGACTATGTCCCTAGAGGCATCCATCTATGTCATTAGAAGCATCCATTTACTACAGGCTGCTACAGGCATCCATCTGCTACAGGGCTGACTATGGCCTTAGAGGGGCATCCATTTACTACAGGCTGACTATGTCCCTAGAAGGCATCCATCTGCTACACTCCTATGGCCTTAGAGGACATCCATCTGCTACAGGCTGACTATGTCCTAGAAGGCATCCTTAGGGACATGTCATCCATCTACTACAGGCTGGCTGACTATACTACAGGCTCTTCCCTAGAAGGCATCCATCTGCTGGGCAGGCTGACTATGTCCCTAGGGCATCCATCCATCTGCTATACAGGCTGACTATGTTCCTAGAAGGCATCCATCTGCTACAGGCTGACTATGACTATGGCATCCATCTGCTACAGGCTGGCATCCATCTGAGGGCCTCCATCTGCTACAGACTGACTATGGCCTTAGAGGACATCCATTTACTACAGGCTGACTATGTCCCGAGAAGGCAATCATCCTATACAATCTGACAACTATACCATGACAGAGTCGCAGTGAAACAGTGGAGCATGTACCATGACTGAGCTTGCTAAGAGGACACGTTCACAGAGACATAAGCTGCACAGACTCACCTTGCAGACAGGTCATCGTCCTCGTTGCCCCAGCCCCAGTAGGAGTTGCTGTAGCCATTGATCCTCTTGAAGTTCTCCCGGTTGAGGGCAATCACTCCCCCAGCATAGTAGTAGTACATGACGCTGAAACAGAAAGAATCATTAGTTCACAGAGCTTGTTTGGGTCACTAGTACACACAGTTTGTTGTTCAGATCACAGGCATGGGTATAATGCTGAATCCATAGGCTTGGGTATAATGTTGAACCCACAGGCTTGGGTATAATGCTGAACCCACAGGCTTGGGTATAATGCTGAACCCACAGGCTTGGGTATAATGCTGAACCCACAGGCATGGGTATAATGATGAATCCATAGGCTTGGGTATATCACTGAACCCAGAGGCATGGGTATGTTTCTGTATGTATCAGCAATACACCCATGCCTGTGGGTGCAGGATCTAAACCCATTACCTCTCAGAACAACTGAACACAGCCAATACTGGCCCCTTAATCAACAGGGCCACCTGTATCGCAGCCTACTCCCTATTTCCTTCCTAAAACATTTTGTTTGATAACAGTGTGAGAATCTACACCGAAATGTTTGCTATGTGCAATAAACAAGAAGTTGTTATCCATAGAATCAAGTACCTCATTACTTCCGAATACAATCAGGTTGCCTCTCAATGAAAGAATTCTTGACGACATATTCTAAACTAGCTGCTGTAACCTTTATGTGACTATTTCAGTGACTATAGCAAGAAATATATCTGGAAGTGTCCTACTGGTATCGCATCTCATCGATGGCGGACGCGAGGTGCCGTGCATGCTGGTCACACATGTAGTAGTTCTTGTCGTGTTCCGGGATCAGATCCACATCATGCAGCACAAAACAATCAAACTCGTCATACGCCATCGCTTCCAGAAAACCAACATTCATCAGTTTACCACGGTTGAATTTGTCACTTCCTCTCTGAAACACGAGATACCAAACTTAACCATCGCAAAACTCCATGAGATGACACATAAAAATTAGTTATAACAATCTCTACTTAATCTGCTCAAACTGGTTTGTAATCCATTATCCTTACGACACAGGTTAAACTCTGTCAGTACAAAATACAGGGTAGTTTCCTAAACATCTAAGAACTGGTCTTCAGCAACCATGTTTCTCGTAAGAGGTGACTATCCTGGATCCAGTGGTCAGGCTCGCTGACTTGGTTGACACGTCATTGTATCCCAATTGTGTAAATTGTTGCTCAAACTGTTGATCACTGGATTGTCTGGTCCCGACTCATTCATTTACAGACTGCCGCCATACAGCTGGAATATTGCTGAGTGTCGCGTTAAACAACAACCAAACCAAAACAGAGCAAACTCAACATCTTTTCCAGAAATGGGTATAAAATAACAAATAGCAGAAATTGTTTGGTACAAGGTATATATTGCCATAAAGCTACCCACCTGTTCAATGACGAAGACCTGGAAGTGGATCTACACACCTGTTCAATGACAAGACCGGAAGTGGATCTACTCACCTGTTCAATGACCGACAAGTTACTCACCTGTTCAATGGCGAAGACCCAGTAGTGGATCTACACACCTGTTCAATGACAAGACCGGTAGTGGATCTACTCACCTGTTCAATGACAAGACCGGTAGTGGATCTACTCACCTGTTCAATGACAAGACTCGGTAGTGGATCTACTCACCTGTTCAATGACAAGACTCGGTAGTGGATCTACTCACCTGTTTCAATGGATCTACTCACCTGTTCAATGAGACCGGTAGTGGATCTACTCACCTGTTCAATGACAAGACAAGTGGATCTACCCACCTGTTCAATGACAAGACTCCGGTTGTGGATCTACTCACCTGTTCAATGACAAGACCCAGTAGTGGATCTACTCACCTGTTCAAGTAAGAAGTGGACCTGTTCAATGACGAAGACCTGGTAGTGGATCTACTCACCTGTTCAATGACGAAGACCTGGTAGTGGATCTACCCACCTGTTCAATGACAAGACCTGGTAGTGGATCTACTCACCTGTTCAATGACAAGACTCGGTAGTGGATCTACTCACCTGTTCAATGACAAGACCCGGTAGTGGATCTACTCACCTGTTCAATGACAAGACTCGGTAGTGGATCTACTCACCTGTTCAATGACAAGACCGGTAGTGGATCTACTCACCTGTTCAATGACGAAGACCTGGAAGTGGATCTACTCACCTGTTCAATGACGAAGACCTGGTAGTGGATCTACTCACCTGTTCAATGACGAAGACCTGGAAGTGGATTTACTCACCTATTCAATGACAAGACCCGGTAGTGGATCTACTCACCTGTTCAATGACAAGACCGGTAGTGGATCTACTCACCTGTTCAATGACAAAGACCTGGTAGTGGATCTACTCACCTGTTCAATGACGAAGACCTGGTAGTGGATCTGTTGCCTCTTCAGCATGGGGTGAAGTCGGTGGAGGAGCTTCTTCAGGTGCTGCCACCTGTCTCTGTATGGAATGATGATGGCCACTTTCTGCCAGGAACTGCACTCCTTCGGCTTCCACCAGCCACCTTTCTGTACACTGGGATTCCTTGCCACAATATCTTCAACTGCTGGCTCTTCAAATATATCTACTTTGGCAATCTCTGCAATCACAACCGAATGCACATGATAGGCAGTTTCATACATCCACCATGTTCTATTAGTGAGTGAGCTGAGTTTTACGCCGCTTTTAGCAATATTCCAGCAATATCACGGCTGGGGACACCAGAAATGGGCTTCACACTTTGTGCCCCTGTGGGGAATCGAACCAGGGCCTTCGGCGTGATGAGCGAACGCTTTAACAACCAGGCTACCCCAACGCCCCCATGTTTTATTTATGATCTATTATATCAAGTAATATTTGTACACTATTTCAGCTTCATCAAGCCACTTTCTTCGTTAATGTGCATATTCTGCATTTGTCAATTCTGGCCATGTAAAAGTACATACCCTCAACCACATACAAACATAAGATCAGGATATTAAAAAAACAATATCAATATTACATCAAACATTTAAATATGTTTACACCAACATAACGCATCATTTACACTATTTTCACATGAAGAAATGAATCAACAAAGAATTTGGTGTTTTGCCATCTTAGGATCCCACGGTAACAGAACCTGTGAAGACCTGGCTTAGAATCAGTCTTCAGTAACCCATGCTTGTTGTAAGAGGTGTCTAACAGGATCAGGTGTTCAGGCTGGCTGACTTGCTTGACACATTTCATCGTATCTCAATGTGTAGATCGATGCTCATAATGTTGATCACTGGATTCCAGTGGTCCAGGCTGGATTATTTACAGTTTGCCGCCATATAGCTGGCATATTGTTGAGTGCGGCGTTAAAGAACCAACCAACGAACCAACCACAGTGACAGATGTAAAAATAAGATTCCAACAAACCTAGTTCATCAAAGTCGACTTTACACTTGCCCTCATCACTGCCACCGATCTGGGACATCCGGAGCAGCGTGTCAGGCATGGTGAAGATACAGTGACTTTTGTAGTTGAACAACGCAAACAGCCACAGACACAGGTACACAAACAACAACAAATTGGTCCCTTTACGCCGCAGACTCCGGGACATCATGATGGCCGGTGGTTATCTCCCCTTTATATTTATCTCCCCGTACAGGATATCTGCCATGTGAAGAAAGGGATATTGAGTGAGGATAGTGAGCGAGATTAAGTCACATGGTCAGTGATAATAGAAGTTATACAAAGACCTTATATATGTTAACAACATTTTGTCTCACATAGTGTAATAATTACCGTGCTTACATCATTAGTCATCAACATGATCAAGGTAACGAATTGATACAGGATCAGTTTGCACCTCACTGAATTACCTGAGGATGGACAACAATGTATGGATGAACAACATCTTTATTAAAGTGAGAGCGACGTTTCTGTGTAGGTTCTAACACCGTTATCAAGCAAGTAATGAACAGAAACGGCCTGATAACCGTGTTAGAACCTACACCGAAACATCGCTCTCACTGTAATAAAGGAGTTGTTCATCCATACTGATACTGCTCCAAATTCTAAAATGCCTCTCATAGAAGTTACAAAAATACCTGGCAATCGCACGATCAACTAACGAACACACAACAAACTAACATCACTATCTGCTGGTTATCTATGATCAGTCAATGTGGACTTAAGACCCCTAGAACCATCAGTTTAAGGACTGTTTATTCATGCATGATGCTATTTTGTTTGCTTGTTTTAATAATGCTCACTTCAACAATATTCCACTAAACAAGAGTTGTCAGCAAGATATACAGTCTGGACCAGACCATCCAGTGATTGACATCATCAGCATCTACACATCTTGGATACAATGACATGGGGAGTAGTATACTTTACCAGGTGAACCTTTTCAGAATCAGTTAGCAGTGTATGGGTTCAAACATGCCTTGCCAGATTACTGAATTTAGCTATTAGTTATGTAACTAGCCAACGCTTTACACGGGATGTGTGATAGTAAGGACGTGTAGTTCCCTAATAAAGTAAAGTTGCCGCGTGCTAGTTCCCTAATTATAGTAAAGGTTGGTTGCCAATAAAGACGTGCTAGTTTCCTTAATTATAGTAAAGGTTGGTTTGCTAGTTGCCAATAAAGCCAATAAAACTAGTTTCCTAATTATAGTAAAGGTTGGTTGCCAATAAAGGCGTGCTAGTTCCCTAATTATAGTAAAGGTTGGTTGCCAATAAAAGAAGGTTGGTTGCCAATAAAGGCGTGCTAGTTTCCTTAATTATAGTAAAGGTTGGTTGCCAATAAAAATAAAGGTTGGTTGCCAATAATAAGGCGTGCTAGTTTAATTATAGTAAAGGTTGGTTGCCAATAAAGACGTGCTAGTTTCCTTAATTATAGTAAAGGTTGGTTGCCAATAAAGACGTGCTAGTTCCCTAATTATAGTAAAGGTTGGTTGCCAATAAAGACGTGCTAGTTTCCTTAATTATAGTAAAGGTTGGTTGCCAATAAAGACGTGCTAGTTTCCTTAATTATAGTAAAGGTTGGTTGCCAATAAAGACGTGCTAGTTTCCCTAATTATAGTAAAGGTTGGTTGCCAATAAAGACGTGCTAGTTTCCCTAATTATAGTAAAGGTTGGTTGCCAATAAAGACGTGCTAGTTTCCTTAATTATAGTAAAGGTTGGTTGCCAATAAAGACGTGCTAGTTCCCTAATTATAGTAAAGGTTGGTTGCCAAGGTTGGTTGCCAATAAAGGCGTGCTAGTTTCCGTTGGTTGCCAATAAAGGCGTGCTAGTTCCCCTAATTATAGTAAAGGTTGGTTGCCAATAGAGGCGTGCTAGTTCCCTTAATTATAGTAAAGGTTGGTTGCCAATAAAGGCGTAATCCCTAATATAGTAAAGGTTGGTTGCCAATAAAGGCGTGCTAGTTTCCTAATTATAGTAAAGTTCGCCTAATTATAGTAAAGGTTGGTTGCCATTATAGTAAAGGTTGGGCGTGCTAGTTTCCCTAATTATAGTAAAGGTTGGTTGCCAATAAAGACGTGCTAGTTTCCCTAATTATAGTAAAGGTTGGTTGCCAATAAAGACGTGCTAGTTCCCTAATTATAGTAAAGGTTGGTTGCCAATAAAGACGTGCTAGTTCCCTAATTATAGTAAAGGTTGGTTGCCAATAAAAAGACGTGCTAGTTTCCCTAATTATAGTAAAGGTTGGTTGCCAATAAAGACGTGCTAGTTCCCTAATTATAGTAAAGGTTGGTTGCCAATAAAGGCGTGTCAGTTCCCTAATTATAGTTGGTTGCCAATAAAAGGCGTGTCAGCCTATAGGTAAAGGGTGGTTGCCAATAAAGACATGTCAGCTCTGTAAGGATAGTAAAGGGTGGTTGCCAATAAAGACATGTCAGCTCTGTAAGGATAGTAAAGGGGTGGTTGCCAATAAAGACGTGCCAGCTCTGTAAGGATAGTAAAGGGTGGTTGCCAATAAAGACGTGTCAGCTCTGTAAGGATAGTAAAGGGGTGGTTGCCAATAAAGACATGTCAGCTCTGTAAGGATAGTAAAGGGGTGGTTGCCAATAAAGACATGTCAGCTCTGTAAGGATAGTAAAGGGTGGTTGCCAATAAAGACATGTCAGCTCTGTAAGGATAGTAAAAGGGTGGTTGCCAATAAAGACATGTCAGCTCTGTAAGGATAGTAAGGGGTGGGCCAATAATAGTAAAGGGGTGGTTGCCAATAAAGACATGTCAGCTCTGTAAGGATAGTAAAGGGTGGTTGCCAATAAAGACGTGTCACCCCTCTGTAAGGATAGTAAAGGGTGGTTGCCAATAAAGGCGTGCCAGCTCTGTAAGGATAGTAAAGGGTGGTTGCCAATAAAAACATGTCAGCTCTGTAAGGATAGTAAAGCGGTGGTTGCCAATAAAGACGTGCCAGCTGTGTAAGGATAGTAAAGGGGTGGTTGCCAATAAAGCGATGTGCCAGCTCTGTAAGGATAGTAAAGGGGTGGTTGCCAATAAAGACATGTCAGCTCTGTAAGGATAGTAAAGGGGTGGTTGCCAATAAAGACATGTCAGCTCTGTAAGGATAGTAAAGGGGTGGTTGCCAATAAAGACATGTCAGCTCTGTAAGGATAGTAAAGGGGTGGTTGCCAATAAAGACATGTCAGCTCTGTAAGGATAGTAAAGGGGTGGTTGCCAATAAAGAGGATATGTCAGCTCTGTAAGGATAGTAAAGGGGTGGTTGCCAATCAAAGACATGTCAGCTCTGTAAGGGGTGGGATCAGTAAGTAAAAGGGTGGTTGCCAATAAAGACATGTCAGCTCTGTAAGGATAGTAAAGGGGTGGTTGCCAATAAAGATATGCCAGCTCTGTAAGAACAGTAAAGCGGTGGTTGCCAATAAAGATGTGCCAGCTCTGTGAGGATGGTTATGGGGTGTTTTCTAGTAAAGACTTGTCAACTCCATAAGATCCAGGGCTAGCGATATATTGAGACAGTGGGAGCATTATATAGTCTTGTCATTGCTCTGTGTTAACACTAACAGGTTTGGGCATCAAACCAATTCAAATATTTACCATCCCGGTGAAAAACACACTCGTGTGAAAACCTCTATATATCCAGACTGCCTAATACTAGTAAATCTATTCACATACACAACATGAATAATTCAACCGTACAAGGTGTTATGTGGGCGTTATTCCTGAACATTGTTGCTCTGTGTTAACACTAACAGGTTTGGGGTCTTATGTTGTCTTCATGTTAGCTATGTATCTTAGCTAGCTGTCTCAGTAACAATGTTACAAAGACATGCGATAGGTCACACAATGTCCATCGGGGGTCAACAGCTTCCGGAAATACAGTATTGAAATGCTTGACAACTTGTAACTTGTTTCACATGACTAGAAAGAAGCACTTTCATCTGTGACCTCAATACTGACGACGTGTGTTCACTGTTGAGTAATTGTAACATCTTACCTGTGTCATTTACATGTGTTCACTGTTGAGTAATTCATTTACATGAAGGAAACTCGCGATGAAAAGAACCGAACATGGAAACATCGAGATCAATGCATCACTCGTGTTTTGTTTTCATGTTTTCCTCTCTCGCTGATAGACCGGTGTTTAGATAATTTTACTCCGTCCTTTCAGTCAAACAAACGCTAAACATCGATGTCAGACAAACAGCGAAAATACAGTCCACTTACCATAACTATATTTGTGTCTCTCCCTCAAAACGAAAAGTTTCGAAAACACATAGCATTCTCGATAACATAGCTATTCTCTTAATGCAGAGTAATATTACATGAGATACAGTTTCTATCGTCACCGCATTGCTGTAAGGGAGGTAATTATCATGTTTCTTGTTGCAAACCGCATAAAAATGTTTACTCGTTAAATGGAAGTTTGGCTAAGGTTTTTTACCTAGTTGTCTGGCACTGGCTTTACGGTGACAGGCCGGGAAAGCCACATTTCAAAAATGACTATTGCCGGGAAGGCCACATTTCAATTACATGGCTGTAGCCGGTAAAGCCACATTTCCAATAGATTAATTAATTAATGGATTACCGTAACCGGTAAAAGAGTGTCCCCATGTATAATATTGTTTTCACAAGAAACGACTAATCTTTCTTACTCACAAACGTGATGTTTAGCAATACCGGTAAAAGACTATCCCTATTATTATTATTTATTATTATTACGTGATATTATCATTATATGTAATATAGCTATTAGTATATTATATTGTGCTAATTATAGAAACAAAACCTGTTGTGATCTGAATAAAATTATGAAGAAACATGTCTTGTTTTGTTAAATACGGTAACGGGTTTGAATCACTAAGCATGTTTTGACAGCATAGCCGGGAGAGCCACAGTCCATGTTCACAGAGCCACATCAATTTAGGCTATCTGTTTCGGAAATGTGGCTCTCCCGGCCTGTAACCGGCTTTGGCTGTACCTAGTTGTCTGACACTGCCCCACAAGATTTTATTAGGTGTCGTCAGAGGACAGGTGACACAGATGAGCCTGACAGGAGACTAAGCTACCGTCACACAAAGAATATTCTTGTTTCTCATCACATTTTCACTGGGGCGGGAGGGCGGATTTTATTTTTACATTTTATTTTATGTCCAAAATCCCTTGATTTCTGTGGACATTTACACCTTTTCTACGATAGAAAATCAAAACTTAGAAGTGTGAAAAATTCATGCACATTTTGAATATTAAAGTTGCATTTTCTTTAGTGTAAAAAATAACAAAAAATCTTAGGGTCGGGTCGAATGTTTGTGTCGGGCGGTGATGAGAAACAATAATAGTTTATATAGGGCCTTAACGAAACCGAACATGGAGGCAATATCAACACGCATTTCTGAACACTGATTGGTTATCCAATATTATAAAGATTTCCATATTACAACGGGAGAATGTTTATTTATTTCTTCCACCTGAAACCACACAAAACAAACGGTGGACGCTTGCTAGACAATCTGCAAATATCACCTCGGTGCCAAAATACAAGCACTTGCCTGGTACAAAGAAATGGAAAACATGTTATGAGTGAATCTCTATAAAGGATCAAGCCCCGTAAACATCCAGGTTAGAATTGATCTTCAGTAGCCTAACCCATGCTTGTCGAAAGGGATCTAACTAACGGGATCCGGTGGTCAGGCTCGCTGGCTTGGTTGACACATGTCATCGTACCACAGATCGATGCTCATGATGTTGATCAATGGATTGTCTGGTCCAAACTCGATTATTTACAGGCCGCCGCCATGTAGATGGAATATTGCTGTTATGAGTGCGGCGTTAAACAACAAACCAGCCAACTATAAACGATTCCTCGTTTGAAGTCGAACTTGTTGCTTTGGAAACAGGAAAAACCGGAATTATTCCCGGCACCAGTTCAGTGATGTGTACACACGTGTGAAGGAAGAAATACTGAATCTGTTACGAGTAATGTTTAGGTATTATTTTTGTAACAATGAATTATATACTTAACATAGCGACGAACCTATATTTTAAAGGGGTGCTGGGGTAACCTTGTGGTAATGTATTCATGTGAAAGGCCCGGGTTCGATTCCCCACATGGGTGCAATATGTAAAGCCCATTTCCGTTACCCTTTCCCCTATGATAATGCCAAAAAATATACATACACATATGTTTCAGGCAACCAAATCGCATACAATGACTGCTCCCTTGATGTCATTCGTCTTGGAACCATGGTATAATCATACCCATGTGTTTGACGTCATTCGGTTGATGATCGGTTAATGAACTAAAGTATAATTAGTGGAGACATCTCGGATTACACATCTGTGAATTATCACAAATGACATGTTATGATGTCCGACACGGCACAGGCCATGTAGTTGTTAATCATTAAGAATTCTAAAGTTCTGGACCACTAAACTGTATCCGAAGCAATGCTGACAGCAAAACACATACTGCTGTACGTTTCCCAAAACATCCATATTTCAATACAAAACAGTGGTACCATCAAATGTAATCATTGTTATCTTGCATACTGAAAGTGTTTTGTTGTTTTTTTATAAGTGGTTTTATTAAAGCAGACGGATTACACCCACCCGACTGGGAATTTTGTTATTATTTCGAAACAACATACTTTGTTCGAAGGATTAGTCGAGAATATGTTGAAGGATTAATTGATCATGTCTGCCACCATGGATGTCTTAAGGAACTGGGGACATCATGAAAATGGCTGTCACGTGTGTCATCTCAGCAGATCTGTGAGACTTGCCACTTATGTACAAAACCTGAAACAGACTTACCAGACAAGTTGAGAAATCAGCACGAGTTGAAACGCCATAGATATTAAAATACTGGATTGATACAAGACACATGACATCCAACATGTTGGTTTGCACGGCTCCAGATATATGGGGCAGTGTATGTTTGTGTTGTATTGCCGGATACATTCCTCGGGCATGGCATCTGCCTAACGGTACATATGTAACCACTATCGGTTGTAAATGTGATACTAGTATTCTCATTCATTTATTTTGTTCGTAGTTCCATTATGCTAGCATTTAGGAAGTTCTTGATGCGAGATGCACAATAACACAGTCGTTGTATATGTGTAAAATGTGATTCACGTTGAGTCATTTTACATATTGACTCAACAGTCTGTGTCTTTAGTTAACAGACTGACTAAAGTCTATTTATGAAGTTCAAAACATGAATAGCCTAGTTATGCTAGGGTTAAAAGCCAAACATAATTAAATGTACATTGGCTCTCGCTATATTTCAATTCTGTCATTTTCAGTCACTTTGTGATGAAGTCCTCGTTAAAGTGTTGGAATTTCGTTATCATGAATAGATACATGGGCAGATGTTTCAGTCAGTTTACACGTTATATAAATTGCCTATGCGAAAATATCTGTCATTTGTTCACACTGACTGTACCATAGAAACGCGTCACACTGTGATAAGCAATGCTCAGGTGAAATCATAATAGTATAATGAAAAATCTCGGAATAGCAAGTACGTTCATCATCAAAACTCACCATTAACGACTGGCCTTTCAAAGATGCCGACCACTCTTGATCCATTCCCATTATCAGTTTTGTTAATCAGTTTGAATATACGCCCGTGTACCATGAATAGAAGTGACCGGTGGCACAGCAGAGGCAGCGAACTAATCGAGCGTTCTGGGATATCAACCAACGCAACAAGCACCAGGTACGAAGAAGCGAACAACACAACAAGCACAGGATAAGAACAAGCGAACACCACAACAAGCACCGGATAAGAACAAGCGAACACCACAACAAGCACAGGATAAGAACAAGCGAACACCACAACAAGCACCGGATAAGAACAAGCGAACACCACAACAAGCACCGGATAAGAACAAGCGAACAACACAGCAAGCACCGGACACAAAGAGTGAGTGAGTGAGTTTAGTTTTACGCCGCTTGTAGCAATATTCCAGCAATGCCATAGCATGGGACACCAGAATGGGCTTCACCGGGTACGAACAAGCGAACAATACAACAGGAATCGTGCATTGCTTCTCTGTGGGATAAATAATAGCTTCTTTGGTTAACATTCCACACATTGTTTCAGTATTTTTGCTGCAATTATATATTGCTATGCCCTCTGTCCTGAAATAAATATTGTATATGGAATACACAATTCTAAACATTATAAGTGCCAGCATATTATGCAACATTGTAGTGATCAACGTTGCTTTACTTATTTCTGACCTGGCTCTATGCACAACACCAAACTCCACGTGATGTCAATGGTTCACTCGGTATAGAATTAAGCCTATGTAGAAACCTCGGGATTATTTTTAATTTGTCGCAAACCAAAATGCATGACAAGCTATAGCGCAAATACCAATGTAAAACGTACTTTGCACCGCTATGTAGGTGCCAAGATCGTCGAAATAGATACTGCATTGGGATGACATAGGCATTAAATGTACCATCAAAACGGTAACAGCTGTCTCAGGTTACCAATGTGCTGGAGATCAGAACTATCGAAATCTGCCCACTCCAAAATGACTTAGGTTACTGTCCCGATCAACTGCCCATTCGGAACTAATTTACCTTGAGTGTACTCACGTTGCACAGTTGTTTACTGATAAGGCGAACACATCAAGGGATGATGGGAATCACTTTATACTTGACATATGGAACCACTTCGGGAACGCTGGTCTGGGACAACAACTTAGTATGCTGTTTATAGCCCATGGAGTGTTAAGCACAAGCTAGGGGCTTGAAATCACTTGTGTTAGTTTATGTGTACACGGGGTAGAAATCGAAATATCAATGGCGGTGAATTTCAGATTCATGTCATTGCAAATACAGGCTGAGAGAATTACTTCGCGAAACCTACATGTAACTCAAGTCAATTTGAAACGGAGCCATGGGGCGATTATACTGGCGCTTCTATTTCTATATATACATCAATTGTTTGGAAATACCGTATTTATACATATTTCAAAGGCCATAGAACTACCGTTGATTCTATGTACAAAGAACATAGGGGTTTGTTGATAAGTCTCCCAGGCGACAGTGGAGATGGAACCGCGCCAAGCCCGGGGCATCTGATCCTCCAAGCCTCAGCTTGAGAATGCATCAAATCCCAACGATAACCACAGTACCTGAGGGGTAGTATTTTTAATGGAACCGTGAAGACTTTTGATAAAAATAAAGAGTTATGATTTCTTTTTTAAATATTCAAGACAATAATAATGGGACAAGAACCGTGAATGTCCACGTGCAATGGCTGATAATCCATTCAGTGATTAATGCGTCTTACATACAGTCTCCCTTACAGACCCTTTTAAAAGCATATATTTCATACTCAGTCGCTCTCCACAACTCCCCGTCCCATCCATCTGTCCTACCCCACCCTACCCTGACACACCCCACCCTACTACCCTGACACACCCCACCCCTATACCCTGACACACCCCACCCTACCCTGACAATGACCACCCTACCCTGAGACACCCGACCCCATGTGCACTGTCCTTCTCAGCCAACACCAACAGTTTCTGTTGTTAAAACACCCGCTGTATGAAGACAGCCCACACATAATCTGGACCAGACAATCCAGTGACTGATATCATGGAGCAGCGTCCAACACGTTGCTTTGCCGTACCTGACCACGCGTTGCATTGAGTCACGTCGTACGGCAGGCATAGCTCGGTTGTCTGGGGCGCCCAGGAACACCATGGGCGGGGTCGCTGATAACAAACAGTGGTAGGCTTGTGAGCGTCTTGCTGTGATGGTGTAAAGCAGAGACCATATACCGTATATATGCTTTCTTTAACATATTTTATATTTGGGATTATACTTAGTCAGTAAAGTACAGTTTCTTTACAGTCGGGATGCGAATCCACACCCTCAGAGTCAGGCACCTAATCGCCAGCACACAAAGTCAGTCGCCTAACCCGCTAAGCCACCGTGCTGGCGAATAGGTGCCTGACTCTGAGGGTGTGGGTTCGAATCCCGGATGGGACAACCCCAAAATGTACTAGAATCTGTACTTTCCTAAGAAAGAGTAATCCCAAATATAACATATGTTACATTTAACCACTTTCTAAATGGCATTGTGTATGAATATGCTTTCTTGAAACACTTGTCTGTGAACCCAAGGTGAAATAAGTATGTACGGGGTTACCACAACGACAACCTGTATGTCCAGGTGGAGAACAACTCATCTTTCATTCCGATGCTGAGGCAAAAAGGGGAGAGTATTGTGACACCGGGTGGTTAAAACGTGGTAAACATTCTTATGTATTGCTAAAGTATTTACTGGCATTTCTATGTAGCACATTTGTGTTTCTAAATTTGGATTTATTTACTTTTTTGTTTGTTTTTACGTTTTGTTTTGCTTTGCTTTAAAATCTGATTTCGCAGCAACTGCTTTATCACTTCATGTATTTTTTATGAATATCTAGTTAGGCGTACGTTATTATTAACCTCTTTCTCACTTGTGTCTGGTATAAATCCCTGTTATGTAAACCTTCCTCTGTGTTTATTTAAGAATTTTAGCTGTCATTGCTACAGTCTAGGGAACCCGGAGACTACTTCACCCACCACAACACACACCGGCAACATCCATTCACCATGCGCCTGCAGCAGCTGATGTAGCTATTTGTTATCGACTAATGATTATAACCGTTATTTCCCATCACGACTATAGTATAGCCCCCCTGCTGGCGATATACATAACCACACAAACACACGCGGTATTAACATAAACACCGGTCACATAATCGATATATGCAAGGAAACCCGATATGATCCATAAGCAGGTGAACTTGAAAACCTAGGCGATAATATGATTATACCCAATATCACTCAACTGAACATTTTCTCTCTTGTGTACAACAGCAGTCGCCTCCCTTTGAGGAAGTCTATAGCTCGTGTGACAGTGTTGTCTGTGTGACTGTGTGATGACGGAAGTATGTTGACTATGGAAGGGCACCTGCCTACACGTCTCAGAGGGAACAGTCTACAGCCGGACAGGTACGTGACGTACTTTGTGCAGTCATTATTTCAAAGTAAACTGCGAACAAAGTTATCACCGCGCGGTTTGAACATTATAATAAGGACACGCCCTTTCTAGCGGTTTCTGTGACCGCGTTAAGAGTTAAAATTTGTCATGTGTCAACAGACCAGTCGTGAATAAGACGATTTCTCAGGGAGGGTTTGCAGAGGTGCAAGTTTCTCTGAGGTACGTAACGTTTGATTCGACAAGTTAACTTGTATCAGGCACACGTATACGTTGTATAATTAGTTCCTTTGGGCAAAGTATACATGAATTTAAAACCGTGATTGTTGTTGGTTCCGTTAGATTGCTCATTTCCGACAGACCAATCCCCCTCGCTCAACTGTCGCATTCAGCCGTAACAGCCAAGAATCGTTCGTCATTGTTGAAGTCATGATCATCCACATATTGTCAGGAGATTTCAGATAACGATTCACCTCTACTTACTAGAAAATCTGTACAGTAATATTAAACAGTGATGTCCTTACTTTAATGGTTCAAATATAATAAAAATGAATACCAGCCATATTCTGTGCTTCTCCCAGAAAGTACATGTATAGCTGGTTACAGGGTCACACCAGATTAAGGGCTTCTACCCTTAAGTGTGGCCTCCAGAATTATCAGCTGGCCCAGTATGTGCAATACTGTATGTTTGGTGCTCACTAAAACACAGAACTATGAGTACGTCTGGATAAGTAACAATTATGGCTATACTCCGGTGATTATACTCATCTAGTGGTCGTTAAGTAAACTTGGTTAGTTTGTTGTGTAACGCTGCACTCAGCAATATTCCAGCTATATGGCAGCGGTCTGTAAACAATCAAATCTTGACCAGACAATCCAGTGATCAACAACATGTGCATCCATCTATGCAATTGTGATACAATGACATGTGTCGACCAAGTCAGCGAGCCTGACCACCCGATCCTGTTAGTCGCCTTTACGACAAGCATGGGTAGCGGAAGACCTGTTCTAACCCGGATCTTCACCAGTGTGTGTATTTGGTGATTTGTTTAACATTGCAGTGTTATTTTATTGATGTTCAGTTTAACCGCTCTGGGCCAACCAAGAAAAACTTGTTTATTCATAGATGTGCACTTTAAATTTGTTAATGCTCTTCAGATTGTCATCCAAAATGTCTTAGACATTGTTTTTCAGCTAAGATAGAGAAAAAGGTCCTATCAAAAGTTGATGTTTTTGTAAAAGTGTGTTATTGATATTTATCTGAAGCACATCACACTACAACGGTTTAGTGTGTTTCAAATTGGGAGGGTAGTGTATTTATGATAATGCTGCAATGTGATTTTTTATTCGAATGTACGTGGGATCGTAGTATATGTATTTGAATGTGTGAGGGTAGTGTATCTATGATACTGCTGGAATGTAATATTAGACTTTCAATCATTGGACAAGAACTTTCTATTTGTTTGTGTTAATATGTTTGATGCTTGCGATTTAACACTGCCCTGCCCCCATGATAACCTGCTGGATTCCTGTATATGAGTTCTGTGTGTTTTGCTCCAAGATGACCATGGAGCCTGACAAAGGTAACAGCATCTGTAACAGCATGTAGAGGCATTGCAACATCGTTATACAACATTGTCATGCAACTTGTCTAGTCAGCTGTTTCTCTGTCATTGTACCTGTTTCTGTAAGAGTATTATTTAGTTCAATTTTTGTTGCATGTACAAAAGTGGTCCGTTTGTTAAGTTGAATTTGTTTTCAGGTGCTTGGATCAATCTTGTACAAACTCAGGGATTAGAATTTGACTTTCAGTACATGTTTTTTGTGATTAGTTATGTTCATGTGTTTGTAGAGGTCACTTGCACTTGGACTGGCCACTGGGACATTAACTGACTAAGAGATTTTAATGCTTAGTTTTACATTTTGCATTGAATGCAATATTAAAATGCCTTTGAAATTAAGAAAAAACATTTTTGCAAAAGAAGATTTTTCAATTTTGATGTCAAGGACACAAACATTAAAAGTTATCATAATGAAATATGCATGTCTTTTAAATGTAAAAAATCCCAAGTTGACCCCAAAACAATGTTTCATTTCTGGCAATCAATATTTTCCAAATGAACCTTGTCTTGCCAAATGAATCCTGGCTTGAGTTACTTTCATTCATTCTCTTTGGTGTTGGACACAGACTACTATTCCCCTTGAGGTGAATGACCTTCTACCTTTGTGTATCTATATCATGTGCTGTATCATCAAACCATGTCATGTATTGTTATACTCGGTGGGAATATGTAAACAATATCACACAGATACCTTATCGAGAACAGCTGCCTTACTGTATGGATTCTGGGAGAAGTAGGAAGCATGGCACGAACCTGATTATCTCCCTTTTGTCATGTTGCCTATCTCAGCAAGCTCAGTTGAGTTAGTGGGCAAATAACATCTTGCGTCCATTTAGACTTGATCCCTGGCTCAGGGAAGCATGACGTTTGCTGCTGTAGTCAACAAGATTCAGCATCTCCAGATCAAAGTTCCTTGTACACAAACTACCAGTGTCATAGGGGTGGTGGGGTAGCCTAGTGGTTAAGGTGTTCGCTTGTCATGCCGAAGACCCGGGTTCGATTCCCCACATGGGTACAATCTGTGAAGCCCATTTCTGGTGTTCCCCGCCATGATATTGCTGGAATATTGCTAAAAAGCGGCGTAAAACCACAGGCACACACACACACACACACACCAGTGTCAGTGATTTGCATGTGAACATTCCAGACAGTTGAGTGTGACCCTGCATGTAGATATGTGTACCCTGGCTTATAATGCTGTTGTGTTAATACTGTACACAGTCCGTCCACTGCGTAATGTGTCCGCTTGTTCCAACACTGTGCATGTAGAGATCTAAAGTACTGTCGGAAGTAGAAAAAAAACTGTTTTTAGGCTGTATCCCTAAAATTTACACAATTGCAAATAGCATATGTCGAAATAACCCACTTCGGCCTAACTGGGCGTTCAGTGGGATGTGTAATACGATATCCAGAAAAGCATGTTTACTCGTAAAATCAAGCAAAACTTAGAAAAAATACGAATAGCAGCTGAAAACAATAGATCAGACTATAGATGGCAATTAGGTCGCTCAGCCAGGTATGACGACGGACCGTTGACTCACCTGGCATGAACTGCATGTGCTGCCTACAGACACAAGGGGTCATCTCAAAGATATTTTGTGCTTTTTCATGTGTGTTGACTATGTCTCATCTATTGATTAACATCTTACGTGTCTTTCTTTCATATAGTTTCATATAGTTTATGTTGAGATATGTAAAAGAGTATGATACCCGAAAACCATAGAAACGCATTGTAGTATATAGGTGGCATGACCACCCGAAGATCGACAGGACTGGATATTATTTGTAAATTGTTATGACGTGCCGTGTACCTCCCCAGTATAATTGCTCTAAAGGATTATCTCATCTTAGCTGATATCTCTATCCCCAAGCCCGACCCCAGGTTTTGCTTTTGAGACGGCCCCTCCTATCTGTTTCTTTTTATAGTGACAGTGAGACTGCATGGTAGCTACATCCTTAATAGTTTCGGCATAAAGTTTTTATTTTTTACGGCAGCTATCATTTATAATGAATCTACGTCTAATTTCAAATTGGGCATTTAAAAAGTGTCCTTTGTAATACAATATCGTCGCACACTAATTTGCATAAAGCCATGGTCTGTTCCAAATAAGTCTTTTTGGACTTAGAAAAAACCGCATTGCTCATTTCTGCACTAATTTCCCCTCAGTAAAGTCCTTTTTCTCCGTTTCCTATCTCTCTACCACCGAGACTGTAGTTAGGCCGAACTTAGTTTAACAGATATTTCACACTTTCACATATCAACTACATAAATTGTAGAGATAAATGAGAAAATACAGCTTTTTTCTATTTCCGACAGTACTATAGTCGTGGCAGTTGATGTCCTTCACCTATGATCATTAAGCATGTATTCTCAGGTATGGAAGTTCTCCACGGGGCACACATAAAGAACTTAAGCTCTTCAGAAGTAAATGTGCCATTAAGCCTGTCTTGCAAACAAGCATATATGTTTGTAAATGCGTTCATTTACCCATTTGCTTGTCACACTTCCTTCTTTAATAATACATAGAGAATACTACACACGACCTTCCCTGTAATACCATTCTTATTAAACGAGTTCATGATTTGGTAACAAACGAGCGAAAGCGAGTTGGATTTTAAATCTTTCACGAGTTTAATAAAAATGGTATTTCACTGAGACGAGTTTAGTATTCTGTTTGTTGTTTATATAAATTGAATATTGTTTGGTGTGGAACACGAGCAATGACACAAAGTCAGACAGATATGTTCACACACTGTTGTATTCACACACTGTTATCACAGTTTAAGGCTCAATCTAACGTATGTTATACAAGCACAAGTGTAACCTTTCAATGAAAACTGTGACCTAGAATGAATGTCTACATGTAGGTAGTCTATTTGAAAAACATTCAAATTTGTGTGTGACTGAACACAGTCAGTACCTCTAAGTTAAATTTACAACATTTGCCTGTGATTTGTGTAACTTGTCATGACTCCTTGTAAAGATTATATGCACATGTTCTCTTCACGTTTTACAGCAATGTGTCATTAGTGTATGTGAACTGGTAGTAACCCAGACTATTTTTCAACTTTGAGAAGTATTTCAGACCAGGCATGCACAAGTACATGCTGTTAGGCAGGTGTTTATGTCAGCCTGCACCCAGTACTAGTTGAATCAAGTTCCTTAAACCAAGTCTCGCTGGTACATTCTGACATGTCAGGCAAGATAGCTACTTGAGGTGGTAAGAGCAACATAAATATGTATATACCATGACAATAGTTAAGCAATAACGTGTGCCTCAGACTGCGCTGATCCTGTCACAAGTCTGTTATTGACTGCTGATTATTCACAGGCCCCTGCTGTGACTTACATAATACAGTATAAGGAATATAAGCAAACACAACTTTATATACAACTATATATGGGGCCCCATGGTTCTGGCATCTACTGAATATGTGTATATACATTATATCATGGCTCCCTTTCAGTTAAATTACCTCTCAGTGGCTTGGCAAAATGGAGAATCTTACCCAGATCTCTTTAAGTATGAAATATATAAACATATAAATGTAAAACACTGAAGCATGCTAAGGAGTTCTTAAAGTTTATCAGTGAGGGCGAGATTCTGTTTATTATCCAAAATTTTCCAACTCTGTCACTATTTAATTAGTAATATTCAGTGTGTATTCAATTGCAGAGAGATTAGTGATGGCATCAGTTGAAGATGACATGATTACTGACGTTGTCACGGTGATGTACATGCTCACTCACTCACTCGCCACCTGTGGGCCACATGCTTGTTAGCCCAGCAGTTATTAACCTGTCCCTTAAACAGGCCAGCGCTGTGCAGGACTTAATTACTGGCATTATGAGGTGCTGACCTAGATCATGTAGCCTGACCTGTGATTGATGATGGGTCATAAATGTCACAATTAGCAGAAGCAAACAGATGAGCTTTGAAAAACAGCATTATTATTAGGAAGTAATATTTCTGATAAATGTTTCATTAGTAAACTCATAACTATGTATATACTTATATATGAAGAACATAATATCAAAGTTGACAAAACTATGCATTTATGGCCTATATTTATTCATTTCAAATAAATTGGGGCATTTTGACTACCCGACTGGGGCAATTTGACCAAATTTGCTGGGTCATTTTGTAGCGGGGGCAAATTCGACTGGCATTCGGACTTGATTTAATTTATGTTAAAAATACCACTGACAGTAAGTTGTTACAGGGAATGATGGAGTATAAATGAATCTCGTGGGTACTTTTTCCTTCTTCAGCCTAGCTTGGGGATTTCCATACCCCATGCGTGCATGTCTCTTTCATATGCATCCGACTGTCATTTCACTTGGAAAACGGAAGAAATGGTGGTTCTTTCCCATGTTCGATGATTCCGTGCATCCCCAGGCAATGCAATACACCATCGTACCATTTAAAAAACCCACAGAAACAACACGATTTGTACTACTGTAGCGCTTGGTCTTTGGCAATATGGCGGACTCCAGGCACATTTGACGTCAAGAGCGGAAAGGTCACGTGGGTTCCAGCTAAATATGCATAATGGCCGAAGCAGAGATTTACAGAAACTGTTTTCGCGATTAAAACATAATTATACATAATTTTTAATTGAAACTTTGGGAATATGTTTCTGATGACTTTATCTTTCACCCAGAAAATTATTGCAATTCACTCGTATTCTCCTTTAATGTGAAGAAAGCTTACTTAACAGATTTTTTTCAGTGAGACCTCTAAGCTGTTGACACCTAGTGAGTTTTAATGAATTGTTGTTACGTGTGTAGCGGCAATCTGATCCTTGTGTGGCAAGTTTATGAAACTAATGTCAAGTATGGGTGACTACAGTCCTATAGGAGACGTTTATCATCTGGACTATCTTGTCAGCTGTCACACTAAATGATTTTAGTGTCGCCATAAACATGATGACAGTGTGGACACAATTTATGGATAACA